CGCTGCTCTGCCCGCTGCTAAGCTCAACTGTTCGTGTCCCACGGGGATGCGGGGTTTGCTGTAGCAGCCTGCTGCAGCTAAACCTAGTGTTTTTAAATGTCGGGGAAGAAAACGGTAAGCGGCAAAGCGCAGCTTCAAGTTGCATTTCACGTAAAACGCCTCCGGGCTAGCTCGGCGTGAAGCCAGTGGGTTTTGTACACCGAAGTGTTTGGTTTTCAACAGGTGAATGATGCAGAAAGCACGGTGGCGGTGGAGTTCACGCCCACCATTCCTCACTGCAGCATGGCGACGTTAATCGGCCTCTCCATAAAAGTAAAATTGCTCCGATCTCTGCCCGAGAGATTTAAGGTGAGTAATCAAATCACTCTGGAAAGCCAAAGAGGGGGATTGCGTTTGAAAATTAAAAAAAAAAAAAAAAGGTAAAAAAAACCCCAAACTAACCTAACTTGTGTTGAAAAATAACCTGAGCTTTTTTCATATTATGGGTGAGGGAAACACTCCAGGGACCAGGGAGGGCAGTGGACTAAAATATCGACACAGAATTACGGTTCTGTGACAGTCAGGGCAAGGGCAAGTGGGGTTGTGGAGGGAAGTTACCCGCAGTGCCCTACAGCATGGGAGGAGGAGAGTTTGGTGCCTCGCCCCGCTGTCTGAAGGAGGCTTAAGCACATGGGAATGCAGAATGTTCTGTGATTTTAGACTTTGTTTTATTCTGCTGCATACAGTAACTGGTATTGGCAAGAATGTCCTTTATTTCCCTCTTTTTGTTACTGTCTTATTTTTATTATTAAATAGTTTGAACTTGAGCTGTCAGTGTTTTGTTGACTTGTCCCCTTTTTCTTTTGTGATGCTTTTTAAGCTGGATGTTCATATAACACCAGGAACACATGCCTCTGAGCACGCAGGTAAGGTTTTTAGTGCTCTGTTGTGTGATCATCTTTATTTTGTTTAGTCTTGAAAATTAGACAGGAGAGAGATTCCCGCACCTGCAGAGCAGCTGTTTAGTATCTGGGACTTTACATGCGTCAGCTTCTGGGGGATGTTACGGAACAGGAATGTGTAATAATGACGCTTAGATATGTCCTGTACCGTACTTTAAACATCTCCTCAGGCAACCTGTGCTCTCAACTAGTCATTGATTTGCCTGGGTTATGGACGACTCAGAAAATGGGAGAGCCTGGGGGGCAATTTCTTCTCGTGTTACACCTACAGATGTGTAGTTCCCTGCTGCTGAATCATAAACAGCTTGCTGGTTTAACGTGTGATAACATGGTAGCTTTGACTTTAGACTGCAATGCTGCAGCATACTTAGCATCTGCAGAATTACTAGTCTACCTGAGTACCATAGCAACTGTGTGATTATGTGTCTCAATGTAAAATACTTTTAAAAAAGACACTGTATACCAATGTTTTGACTATTTCTTTGTGGTGGTTTTTTCCTGCACAGTTAATAAACAGCTTGCTGATAAAGAACGTGTAGCAGCTGCTCTGGAAAACTCTCACTTGCTGGAAGTGGTGAATCAGTGTTTGTCTGCTCGATCATAATTGCCTGATGAGGAAATCATTGGTATTCTGCTATGTTAAACTAATTTTGTATATAAGTGGTGATGCTAGTGTTACACTGTACATATCTCTACGAGCAAAATAAAATCACTTGGACTTTCTTAAAAAATGTTTCATTACTCCTACAAAAATAGCATGTGCGAAATTAGCTTACAGGCAGCTACAAAAATACAATGGAAATTGACTTTTAAATTTTATTAATTATTGCATGGGTAGGATTTTTCTTTAAAAAGATTTGTTTCAACCTGTTTTTAACCGGTTTCTCACTGTCCAAAATTAGTTATAAATGGCATTTTAGAAGTGGATTTTGCACACTGTACAAGCTACAAGTACACCAAGCTAATTGGCAGTTAAAAATCTTTACATTCACATGACTGTTTTGGACTGCTAATATAACTTTAGCTTCAGACATCAAAAATTGTATAAGTTCATGTGTGCAAAGTTGTAACACTTCTAAATATCTGTGTGGTTTTTCTTATATTAACTTGGATTAGCCAAATATGGAGGGCTCCTTAGACCTGTATAAAACATGATTTCTTTTTAATTGCTCATTACTTGTGGTAGGAAGTACAGTATCTTGAGGTAGGGGATTTTTTTCATGCACCTGCCACAATATAGGAGGGAGTCAGTCACAGTTTTCAGTACGAACAGTCCAGCTACCCTCTGCTGAAAGACTGCCCTGTCGAAGTTTGACAGCTGAATGACAAGTTTGCTTTAAACATATTGAAATTTAATAATAATACCTAGCCTATGCTTCTGGTCCAGGAAATGGGGCATTTACTAAACTGTTGTCTTTTGGCAGAAATTGACAATAGAAAAATTCATTAAGGGAGAATTCCAGAATTAACTTGAACTTTTACAAAAGATGTTTCTAATCGTGGACCATGTGGAAAAATAACAACCTGTTAAAGAAATCCGATAGGTGTTTCAGTGCCTGCACACATGCAATGCTACCTTCCTCGTCATCAGTTATCTGGAGAGTAACTTAACACACTTCTAAAGAAGTAGATTGTGCTCACCTTTGGTGGTAATGCTTTATATTTCAGTAGTATTTTTTCTTGGAGGGTGTCAGATGCTGTTTTAAAAATGCTGAAGCTTAATGAACACTATGGAAACCACAGCCCAGTAATCCAGTCTAGCCTGTGTTGAGCAGCTGAGGAGACTGAGGCAGTGGTGATCCAAGTGTGACATCTGAAGTCACATAGGAAAATAGGACAGAAAGAAATCCAAATCTTCCCATTTCAGAAATGAGGCACCCAGTTTGCACAGGGCTTCTACAGGAAGCCAGTTCTGCAGCAGCCTTAATCTGCTTATTTGGCTCAGCATCCTTTGAATGATCAGCACTTGCTTGGATGTATGAATGAAAGTGTAAGTAAAGACAATATTTATGTAGTATTAATACTGGGAAAGGAACAGAGTGACCCAGCTGTTAATACTATCTTCTCTGCCTCTGTTGCTGAATCACTGAACTGATTAGTTCTGACATTGCCAACATTTGCACCACAAATGAAACTTCAGCCATGGCAATGCATGCAGGCAGCTCGTAGGCAACATGCTTGGTTGGTTTGATTTTGTTTTCTGGGTTTTTTTTATATAGAAAATTAATTTTGCTCTCCCAGATTTTGGGGAGGAAAGGAATGCAAATATGTGCCGGGGGAAAACAGAAGGATGACTAAGCTGCCAACAGTTTGCTTCAACCTGCACTCCAAATAGAGAAGGGATCAGTAAATTATGCTTTGTTGAATCTCTGTGCTTGGCTTTCACCACTACATAATAATAGCGTTAAATAATTTATTGAGATGTTGGCACTTGCCTCATGAAGCACATTGTACACAGTAACCCTGGGGGTGCACTTCGCACCATTTACCTTTTCACAGAAGCAACAGTATGTGGTTACATTGTTTAAATGTGTGGTATATAGCGGGGGAATGAATTTTCAGTAAAGGGACTCTATTGTAGGATATCAAAGAAAAGGTCTGACTTCTGCTACTTGGGGATGGAGAATTCTACTACTTTACATCTGGCATGTTTCTTTAAGTGATGTGGATGATGTATTTACGAGATGATAGAAACAAGAGTAAGGACAAGCCGCAGTTACTTTGCTGAAGATCACAGGTCCGTCTGTACAGGCTCCCTCAGCTTGGATACTTGCTGAATGATAACATACCGCCAGTTCTAGCAAAAATCTTCTGTTCCCTGGTTTTAATGATCGTTAGCTGGCTCCGGCTGTATGGAGATAAAGTGGGAGAAGAACATGTTAATTTGTTAGAAATATTTCTTTTCAGACTTTTATTTTTCCAGAAAGCTACCCCTAAATTTAGCCTGTGGAATGCTTTGTAATAAGACACATTCCGTCAGAAACTATGACCCTTTAGAGCAGCTGTGTTGAATACAAACAGCCTCATTCAAGTCCAGGAAAGATGCCAGAAGCGGACATCTGTTTCACATTCCTAGGCTCTGGGCAGAGCCTTCCAGGGGTGGCTGAATGGCATTCGCTACTCTCAATCTGCAAACGCCGCAACAGGAGCTCCTTAGGGCAACTGGCTGTGTTGCGCGCTGGAGTAACCTGCCGTGTGGTGTTTGAGCCCGCAGACCAACAGTTTGTGCGCCTCGGGTTCCACCACACTGCACGTACTTGGGCCTGCCCACGCAGTCCTGCTCCCTGGGAGGACGCAGACTTCTTCCCAGCTGCTCCCATACTGTCGTTGCTGCCTGGTACCAGCAATTTGAAACATTTGAAGGCTGTTCATCCCCCAGTTTCATGAGCGGCAGGGAAGCAGCTCAGCAGCTTTGTTTCCAAAGATGCAGCTGAACTGTCCATGGAGAATTTCACACTTGAGTGGCACTATTTCTTGTGCTCTTTGGGTGGAGCGATGTGTGCCACACACTGGGAACTGTTAGTTAAAAAAAGTTATTTCAGTCTTCTAGCCATGCTTAAGATTGATGTGTTTACGTCAATAAAGTGCTTTGATAAAGATCTCCCTCTGGAGCTTTGATTTATAAACTGCATGGTTTACAATGGTGGGTTTTTTTATAGCTGTTAAAAACATTTCCCTTCAGCCTGTGCAGCAGACAACTATACCACTTTTCCTTCCTTTACGAAATGCACTGTTTGGCGTAAGTACAAACCGAGCAAGTGGCAGAGTTAACTTTTTTCCCTAAACAAAAGAAAAGCTTATAGCAAAATCTTTCAAATGTTACTATGGAAAGGTAAGTATCAGCAAAAAGAATAAAACCAGGGGAAGTTCAGGCTGTTACCTGTGTGTTTAAGTCTGCTGGTATGTGTCACAACCATTTGCCAGCAACATTTAATAGAAAGCACGTAAAACTTTTAATTCCACAAAATGCTAAAAATACACAACACTATTACAAAACTTACAAATAGCAGACAGCCCTCATTTTGTTCAACACCCTTCAGTAGTTGCAGAAGGCATGCTATCCCATTCTGTAACCTTCTTACAGATTTCTTATTATCAATTCATACATTTCTTCTTTCACGTCCTACCTGTAAAGAGCTTTTGCCTCCTGCAGCAGATTATCTCCATTCCTTAACTTTCCTTTGTGGATCAAAAGAACAGCCCTGTCTGCAGCAATAAAAACATCCTGGTTGTTTGGATTGTTGGAAACCCTGCTCTCCCAGCTTCATTCCACACACTCATCAGGGTTGCTGAGAAACTTGCCAGTTGTCTCATCAGTTTTGTTGCTTTTCAGCATCTTGTTGCAGCACATGCAAGCTTCAGATGCTAAGGCTGTCCTCTTCAGAAGTTAAAACAGTCTCTGGTTCCTGCCATTAGGTCAGCTCCCAGTGCAGGGCTGGAGGGAGAGAACAGGGCAGAAGTTAATTTCCAGCAAGTAACATGGGAACGGGGAGCAGCTGCTGCCTGTGAGCTTTGGGAAGGCACAGGAAGAGAAAGAGAAGGAAATGGCAGGGGCATACAACACCTCACTGTGCTGCCACTAGCTGGGGGATGCCTCCAGCCTCGGTCTGTAGCGACACAGAGAACAGGTAGCTTCTACAGTGCTGGGGGCTTTGTCTTCCAAATTGCAAGGGAAAGAAGTGAGCTCCCATTACCTTATGCTCGACATCTCCCACCCCTCTCGTTTCCTTGTTCCCTACAAGCTGGTTGCCTGAAGGGGAGATTCCCACCTGGGGCCTGTAGCTAAGGCATGGCCACAACACGGCCCCCCTCTTGCTGGGCTGTTACCCGGCCCATCCCATTCCTGCCCCTGCGCTGCTGCAGCTAACAAGAAAGCCTTTGCTGTCCTACTGCAGGTAAGTCACAAACAGCAGGAGGAGACAGGAGGATCAGGAGGACAAGTATCTACGTAAAACTAACGCTTTAAGTTGACAAAGGGATATGCACAGCTTGCCAGATCGTAAGTGCAGTGGCCAAAGAGTGTGGGCAGCAGCTGTGTCCACGCTGAGCCAGGCAGGAAGACCCAAGCAACTGGCAAGTCATCGCTGCCAAGCTCTCTCTGCTGGCCGTGATCCTCCCCATTATTTTGATGTAACTTTGAGATGATGGTTTATCATAGCACTTTTTTTCCTAATCTACCCAAATTAATTTCATCTGGGTTCCCATCAGATGTGTCACACATGGCTTTGACCAAAATAACCTCAGTAGATTGTCACGAGCTTGCTTAACCCCAGGATACCTGGCAACTTGATTTCTCTACTCTTTTGCTAATGGAAGAGCTGGCACATACCCTGTGAAAGGATTATGAAGGTATCTAAGCAGCAATACTTTTTATTTCCCCTGCAAAGTGACAAATAAATCGTCCATGTAGTCTGAAATGCTTGCAGAGAAAAACAATAAATGCCAATAGATTCCAATTTTTTTTCCTAACAGTTTTAATAGAACAAAACTAGTTTTATTACTGAAAATCAGAAAATAGTTTCATTAACACTGCAGCCAACTTCTTTAAAAACACAATTACTTTTGAGTTAGACAGAAAATAATGATTGGGAACGAGTCACATAA